TGGGCCCCTTCAGATTCACATCCTATGCCATCGTTGGGCGTGTCCGATGACATGCCCAACGATGTATACCATTAATTGCTCTGAAGCACTGGAGCTTTAACGTCGGACTGGGGGAACGGGAACCCTACAGGGTACTACAGTGGTACCTCGGTTCACGGACTTAATTGGTTCCACGATTCTGGTCGCAAACCGAATCAAATTTTCCCATAGGGTTCAATGTAAATCAGGTTAATCCGTTCTGACCCCTACAAATGTGGTCGCAAACCGATTTTTGGTCGCGAACAGAATCACATTTTCCCATGGGGTTCAATGTAAATGAGGTTAATCCTTTCTGAACAATATGAAAAAAAAATTTCAACCACAAAAATATGAAACAAAGCACTTTCTTTTTAGCACCATTCTTGCTCTTCACATTCTTGTCACCTTCATTTACGCTCTGCACATTCTTGTCACCTACATTAACGCTCTGCACATTCTTGTCACCTTCAATAACGCTCTGCACATTTTTGTCACCTTCATTAACACTTTGCAAATTTTTGTCACCTTTATTAATGCTCTGTACATTCTTGTCACCTTCATTAATGCTCTGCACTTTCTTTTTCCCACTATGCTTGCTCTGCACTTTCTTGGGAGCCATGCTGGATTGAATACAGTAATGTACAGTACTGTGCTACAAAGCACACAAAAAAGCGTCACAGTAAGTGTCCACAACCGCGTCTGTGACCGCGATCTCGAGTACAGGAAGCCACAACCACGTGCCAGAGTGCTGAAGATGGCCGCGGTCGTGTTCGTCACCCAATGCAGAGTCGCAAATGGAGGCAAAATGTTTACGAACTTTACGAAGCGTTAGTGAACCGAGGTACCACTGTATATTGTAATCTCTCACATTTATTAGGTTTCTTTTCTCAGGAAGGAGATGGTCTTATTTCACCTGTCGCATTTTGAGCTGGGTTCGGCGGCGGTTGGGGGGGGCTGACTGGGGAGTCACCTAGATCGGTTCGGCCTTCGGGTGCTCTCGGTTACCTCTCCCTACTTCCTCAACCTTCTCCAACTGTCGACCCTTCCTTAAGGGGTTTGTTCACGTTGTTTGAAATTTAAATTCTTATTGCTTATATATGTGCGGAAAGTGTTGCCTATGTATCTTATTCCTCCTATTATTTGACTGTTCATAAACGGTTTTTACAGTTTATTTATATTTCAAGTTTATAGAAGCTGTGGTTTCAGGGCTATTGCTATAAACTTAGCTCCGCGTTCCCCGTTGTTGGGCCTTGCTTCACTTTAGGCCCAACAACGAGGGTTTGACCTCTAGCAGTTGTTCCCCCATACCCACTACCTACAGTTTTTTGTCCCTCCCCCTTTTTTTAACTTATACCCTACAATTAAGGAGGGGCTAGCTTGCTCCCCCTAGAGGTTACTTTTATAACCTTATTTGGCTCCACATCCTCCTTTCCCTTCCTTAATCCCCCCCCCCCTTTTTTTTCTTCTCTCCTCTCGCAGGGCAATCTGCCTTTCCTTCCTGTTCTTACTGCACCTGCCTCTCTCCACTATCCTCTTACCATATCTTGCTCTTCCTATCTGCACCTCTCTTTGAACTATGGAGGAACTCCATTTGGTTACCATTAACTCCAAGGGCCTCAATACCCCAGGGTTACTGTTACACAATCTCAAACGTTAGAAGGTCCATGTTGCCTTTGTCCAGGAAACCCATTTTAGAACAGATGCAATTACTTCCCTGCGGGACTCCTATTACCTCACTTCTTACCATTCATGTAATGTATCTTTGAAATCAAAAGGTGAGGCCATAGTGCTCTCTAAATTGGTCCCTTGGACACTACAGGAGACCTTGGTGGGTCCGGAGGGGCGGTTCCTCTTCCTGAAGGGCTGAATTGGTTCAGTCACGGTTACTTTTGCAGCAATATATATCCCCTGAACTGCAACCAGGGCATTTTCTTTGAGAGGATCTTAGACACTCTCTCATCCTTTTCGGAGGGGATTTTGATATTAGGTGGTGACTTTAATGTCTCCTGAAACCCTTCCATAGATTCTTCCTCAGGCTCTTCCCCAACCTCCCCCGGCGCGAGTAAAGGTGTGATGCGATCATTGTTTTGCTCCCAACTAGTTGACATTTGGCACTTGCAACACCCGACGGTTCGGGACTATACTTTCTATTCCACTCCCCATGGCACCTACTCACGCATTGATATGTTCTTCGTACATCAGCAATCATCAGCGTTGATTGTAGACCCAAGTTTAGGGAGCATCACTTGGTCGGATCAAGTCCGAGCCTTTATCAGGATTGCCCTGTCTACTATGCCTTCTCAAAAAGTCTGGCAATGGCAAGTTAATTAGTCTTTTGCACAACCCTGCTATTCTTAACGAAGTCACCAGGGAAATAGACTTATATTTCACAACGAACGATACACCAGAGTGTGATCCAGTTCTTCTTTGGGAAGCACACAAGGCGTATGTTAGGGGCATTCTAATAAAACATGGCTCCCGAGTGAGGAGGGTGCGGGAGGCCAAACTTTTTGGCCTCTTGGCCTCTCTTTATAATTTGGAACTCCAACACAAATCGACACGCTATTCATCTTTGGAGTCTGAAATTCTATCATTATGTCAACAGATCAACTCACTGAATTCTTAGCAAAAGGAGATTTCATGAATCCAGCAACAAGTGTGGGAGGCTCTTGGCTAGGGCCCTTTGGGACCAACAAACGCTCTCCTATGTCCCTCAAATTATTGCCCGTCTGAATACTCGAGCGACATTACCGAAGGCCATAGCAAACGCCTTTGGGGATTATTATTCCCGACTATATAACGTGCGACAACCTTCGGTGACGCCTTCTCGGGACTCTCTACGGGAGGGGGTTGCGTCCTATTTAACCACCAGTCAGATGCTTACCCTTGAATCGCATGTATGCGACTCATACCGGCGTTCGCTCACCTCTCGATCCTGTCACGGCTCTCTGCCGTGACAGGGGAGGGGCTGGATTCCCCCCTCCCTGCTCCGATCCGCCAGCGCTGACTGGCGGAACGGACGGGGGAGGGGGCGGGTACAGCTGGCTCTGCCTCTAGATAGGCAGAGCCAGCTGTCAGTCACGCAACTGGGCGGATCCCGGCACAATTGTCGGGATCCGCTTCAGCTGCGGCGTCTCAGTATACCGCGAGCAGCAGCTAGCGGTATACTGCGGCGTCTCAGTATACAGCAAGCTACAGCGAGCGGTATACTGAGCTTAGGGTGACGGGAGGACGCTAGTTTGTGTCCTCCCGTTACCCTAAGGAAAACTATGGGTAAAAACCTTAACCCCATAGTTCTCCTTTAAATTTCAATGGGTAACTCAAGCTTTGAAATATCTTGGTACTCTGATTCCACCTGATGTGAAAGATGTGATGTCCGTACTTTGTTGTCAAAGTGGCAGTCTGGTCTTTTCTCTTGGTTTGGATGCTGTAACATCATTAAAATATCCATTCTGCTGAAGTTCCTTTACCTATTCCATGCACTACCGATGCATGTTCCGGACAAATCCCTTCGCCGGTCCAACTCTGTTTTTTTTTTAACTTTGTCTGGAATAATCGTCGCCCACAGTAACAAAGATCGCTCTTATCGATGCCCAAGTCTTGTGGCAGTATAGCTCTCCCTGATCTGACCATATACTACATGGCTGGTCACTTAGTTAGACTAATCAACTGGTGTAGACATGCCACTTTTAATCATTGGGTACTTATGGAGGAATCTTTATAGTGAACGATTCATGACCCTCCATTAAGACCCTAACAGCTCCAGATGCATACGGCTTGGACTTCTGGAGGGCTCTCCATTTGAGACATTTTCTGCTCTCTTTACCATTTGTGGGAGAATTTGGTCGCCGGTTATCACCTTTTGAACAATTATGCGACTCCCAAGGTCCTACCTGAAACTCACTCTCTAGCATTTATTGCCTCCTTTCGAGCCCTCTTACCAACGCTAGGGCTCCTTTCTTGACCCGATGGGAACAGGACCTTCAGACCCCCTAGATGGATAAACAATGTCAGAAAATCATTCACTTGACCATGACGTCCTCCATCTGTTTGAAACATCAGGAGACTAACTACAAACTTTTTACCAGATGGTACCGAACGCCGGGCCTACTACTTAGGTACTATCCTGGGGTTTCAGGGGTTTGCTGGCGCTGCAAGTCGGAAGTAGGCAACCTACTCCACATTTTTTGGACATGCCCGCTTCTGTAGCATTTCTGGTCTTTGGTCCGTATCATAGTTTGCAAGTTAACGAATATGGACATAATACGATACATACATAATATGTACATGTCCAGAAAAGCCTATTCTCGCTCTGTAGTTCACCACCTTCTGGATGCAGCCAAATCTTGTATTCCGAGCCATTGGAGGAAAACTTCGCCCTCTCAGTGTCTATGTGGATCCAGAGAGTGGAAGAGATCAGAGACATGGAGGGCTTAGTTTTTGTTTTTTTAGACATGAGAGGTATTATCGCTTGGAATTAACGTAGTCCGTGGAGGGTCAGGCATTGCTACACTAGTCCCCTGGGCTTCTGCCGGACCTCATTACAGCTCTCGATTTTGGAGGTGGGTTCCTCCATACCTTCTTTCTACTTTCTTTCTACATACTTTCTCCTCTTTTTTTTGTTTGTTTATATCCCCTACAGCTAGCGCCCCCCCCCCCGACATTGGATGAAGTTGGGTGTGTCTTGAGCTTTTCCTGGGATTTACCCTCCCCACACCCTTTCTTTGGTCCAGTTTACTCTTTTAATCACCTACATGCTTATATTAGTGTTTTATAAGCATGTAGGTGATACAAAGAGTAAACTCGTTTTCCATACTATCAATATGTTAGTAGCTGACAAAGGCAGCCGTTGGTTGTCAACTCTGGTATGACACGTATGCATACTATGTTTACGCATTTACATTCTGTTTATTACTTTAAGCCTCTACAGTTTACATCTGTATTGCCAATGTTTTGATTTGTAACCTGAAATGAAAAGTTAAATAAAGAAGGGAGGCGAGAAGAAAAAGGGCCGCTCTGCCATCAATGAAGTAGTTACTAGGGAGTATACCATCAATATTCACAAGCGGATCCATGGAATTGGCTTTAAGAAACGCGCTCCCCGCGCTCTGAAGGAAATCCGCAAATTCACAATAAAAGAATTGCGTACTCCTGATGTGCGCATTGACACCAGGCTGAACAAAGCTGTGTGGGCCAAAGGGATCAGAAATGTTCCATACCGTATTTGTGTGCGCTTGTCCAGGAAGCATAATGCGGATGAAGATTCCCCCAACAAACTGTACACACTGGTCACATATGTGCCAGTTACTACATACAATGGTCTACAGACAGTCAATGTTGATGAAAATTACATTAATTTTTCATTGTTGAAATAAAAAAGAAAAAATTAAAACCGAAAAAAAACACACACACACACACTCATTAAAAAACACACGCATTAAACACACATATTGCACGCACAATAAAACACACACATCACACACTCATTAAAAAAACACAAAACGGGGCATGGTCTGGACATGGCCGTGTGAAGAAGCTTGCCTATGGAGCTTTGCACGACCCTGGTTCCCTGACGGATGCTTTTGAGGATGATACAGGCACTTACCCTCCATGCCACACACAAAATCCATTCACCCAGACGATCCGGACCTTCGGTGGGTGACTATTCGCTGCTACCTCCACGTATTACCAGCCTCTCAGTGGCCGTCTGACATCCCCGTCATGTTGCCGGGCCGCAAAGAACCTGTGAGGTCCACCCCGGGCACCAGTTCAAGCAAAGTTTCAGCAGCTGGCTCCTCTAACCTCCGTGTGAGGGACGGTGTGGGACATCCCGGACCTCCCACTTCTCCGATTGTGACCCCTATGCTGCCGATTGCAGCCTCATCTCCAAGATCGGACGCCTCTTCGCCGCCACAGGGGCCTGGAGCGGATGACAATGGCAGCTGGCGGGAGATCCTACCTCGCCTCACCAGCAAGCAGGATCTGGATGACATGGCGTCCAAAATAGTGCAAGCTCTGCACGAGGAGGTCCAGGAGATTAAGCAGCAGGTGAGCTCTCTGGACCACAAAGTTACAGTAGTGGAGACGACCACCTCAGATCTGATCTCACGCATGGCAGCTCTTGAATCAGCTCAGACCAACATGCGGCTGCTCATGACATCCCTGTTTCTCCAACTGGATGATGCGGGGAATAGGTGCAATAATTTACATCTTAAAGGGATCCCCGAGGCCATAAGCGGTGCTGACCTCCGATCCACAGTGCAAGCTATACTAAATCAGTTATTGGACAAGCCATCCACTGAGCCAATTGAACTTGATTGTGTACATCGCGTGCAAACGTTTCACACTGCCACCTCAGGGGCACCCCGAGATGTGCTATGCAGAGTACACTTCTTCACTGTGAAAGAAGAGATCCTGCGCTGAGCTTGGAACAAGGGCCTGGTTGAATTCGATGGAGCGCTGATCCATATGCTGCCTGATTTGTCTCGCCACACCCTGCGGATGCGGAGAATCCAGAAACCATTGCTCGACGCCATCACAGCCTCAGGGGCATCATACAGATGGGGACACCCATTCCACCTCATAGTCCAGCGTGATGACCAGCTGTTTTTTCTGCACACTCCGTCTCAACTCCCAGATCTCTTCCACTTAATGGATATGGAAGCCATTATTCTGCTGGATTGGCCGGACTTTCTATTGGGTCCTAATGCACTCCCCACACTTCCAAAAAGTACCGCCAGATCCTTCAGGGGCCATTTCGTGCATCGGCCAGACCTGCTCTTGAATGGCATGGATCTTGACATTCCACTGCAGGCTTCAATTGCATCTGCCACTCCTCCTTACGAATCGGCTAAGCCGTATGTTCTTTCTGGGTTGGACTTCAATGTTTTACGCTTGTCCCATCGTCTACTTAGTTGTTTTTTAGTTTTTTTTTGCATAGATCTAACAGTTGTGTATGAATACTGTGTATTAGATTATACCTTCTCCACATGTCCTGTCCGACTGATCATCCTTATTGGATCCCGTAGTGTCACACAGTTTCATCTTCAGCTTTGCAGAGTGTATCCTGGGCGCTGGTGGCCAGAGATCTGCTTCCACATGGCTGCGGGTCTCCGCTCATCGACTTGATGTTATGCCACCCTATTGCTGCTGTGGAATGATGTGACACTAGGTCGCTCTTTGTGCCTTCTCTATGACTCTCCCATAGTCAAGGGGACACGGGCCACGCATCTGCCCTCGTAGTGTTGGTTTTGTTTGTTCTCATATTTTTTGTTCTATTCCCCTTAATAGTGTATCAAGGTGCTGTGGTACCTTCCCACCCCCCACATAGGATATACCCGTGCATTGAGTCTCGGGCTATCTACAACCCTCTGTTTTGCCTGACCGTTAGCTTGGTCAGGCTTGCCCACATTTTTAACTTCTTCCTCATATATTTTTATCGTGGTAGTGAAACACTGCTTCCGTACACTACTGTTCCATCCCCCTCCTGATTTTCTCTGCCCACTCCCACCTGTTCTCTTGCCTCTCCTTCCGGCTCATTTCTCTCTTCTCCTCCTACTTTTCTGGGCCAGCCCCCTTAGACCCGCAGCCTCAGTCTCCCACGCAGGATGGTTGCCTTAAAGTTCATGTCCTTCAATGTCAAGGGTTTAAATGTTCGGGAAAAGAGATCTAGACTACTGGCAGATCTCAAGAAGGCGAGATCTCAGATTGTATTTCTCCAGGTGACGCACTGTAGAGGTGATCAGGTGCCTAACTTGAGGAATAGGGACTTTCTGGTATCCTACCACTGCCTCTCACCCCTTGTTAAGTCCAAAGGGGTGTCAATCTTATTAGCAAAATCTGTACTCTGGTCATACTCTGATCAGTATGTTGACAAAAATGGGAGATTACTCCTAGAGAAGGGGAAAATAGGGGGGACCTTGGTGACACTTGCTAATGCATATTTCCCAAATACAGATCAACTGGCTTCATGTGAACTTGAGTTCAGCTACTAATGGAATCTACTGATGGCATCCTGGTCCTTGGTGGAGATTTAAACTTTGCGATGAATCCGCTGGTAGATGTCTCGGCACGTCCCACCTAGCCTTCTACCTGAAAAAGTTGAAATCTGAGTTGCATCTCCTTCACCTGACTGACACTTGGAGGTTCCTCCATACCCATACTTATTTCTCACATGTTCACCAAATGTACTCGAGGATAGATTACTTTTTTGTGCTAAAAAAAGACTTATCGCGGATCCAATCAGCCACTATCGATAATATCCTTCTCGCTGACCACGCCCTGATCCATCTGTCCTTACTCTTGACTGCACTACCTTCACTGTGTCTCACATGGAGACTTAACAACGCCCTACTGCAGGACCCCCTAATCAAGGCAGAGCTGGAAATGGAGTTTACCTCCTTTTTTGCTATAAATTCACCCTCGTCTCCCTCACTCTGATTACTTGGGAGTCTCACAAATGTCTCCTTCGTGGACTTCTAATCAAACGTGGTGCCCAGAAAAAGAGGGAATGTACCCAATGTATAGACCACTTGTTTGCCGGTCTACATGCTTTGGAAGCCTCCCACAAACGTTTGCTAGCTCTTGTTGCATAGACTGAACTGCCCATGATTTGTGAAGAACTGAATGACTTGCTTTTTTCCAGGATCAAGCAGCGTTTACTTAGGGGCAAGAGATCCTTTTACGAATTTTCAGACAAACCTCCTAGACACTTAGGCAGAGTTTTGCGTGGGAATCGGACTAAGTCCTTTATCTCCCACATAGCGACAGCTTCTGGCAGGACAGTGGCTACGTCTGTAGACATAGCTAAGGAATTCAGGGCCTACTATGACAAGCTATAAAACCTACAGCTGGCGCTCCTACGTGATCCCCCTCCATCTCTCTCCACCTCCATTCGTTCCTACATTCAGAACTCCAACATGCCCACTCTCCTTCCTGAAGATCGGGAGAAATTGGAATCCCTTATCCTGCTCACTGTACTGGAACAGGCTGTGCAGGCAACCCAGATGGGAAAGGCCCCTGGTCCGGACGGTTTTACAGCCGCGTGTTATAAATCGTTCTTATCTCTGCTTGCTACACCCTTCCTCTCCACTTTTAACTCCATTCTTAGCGATTCCTCCCTTCCGCGAGACAAGCTCCATGCCTGGATCACCCTAATCCCTACAGCAGACTGTGATCCCACCCTATGCAGCAACTACAGACCGATTGCGCTCTTAAACGTTGATCTCAAGCTCTTTTCCAAGATTCTTGTGAACAGACTGCTTCCGTTCATGCCTCGTCTCATACACTCGGATCAGGTGGGCTTCATTCCCTCCAGAGAGGCGAGGGACAACACCACTAGAGTGCTGAATATCATCCACATGACTACATCCAAACGCAGACCCTTAGTTTTGCTCTCCACTGATGCGGAGAAAGCCTTCGACGGAGTAGATTGGACCTTCACGAATAGTGTTTTACGACACATAGACCTAGGCGATAACATGTTCAAATGGATCTCTGCCCTTTACTCCTCAACGTCTGCTGCGATTCGAGTCAACGAAACGTGCTCCAAGGACTTCCTCTTAACCAATGGAAACAGAAAAAGGGGTACAGAAGCGCTACTACCATATACTGACTAGGTAAAACCCTGGAAGGGAATTTGCAACTTACCAAGGAGTGGATGTTGGCGCGTTATCATCGGCGAGGGGTGGATGGATCATCATCTTAGGTGGGAAAGGTGGCAACACAGATGTGTTCCGTGCACCCCTTTTCAATTAACCTCCTATGTTCTCCTATGCGTTCATGGAGGGGTCGGATGGTGCGGATGTACTTTTATGATGTTTCAGGAGGAAGTGGCATGGGACGCTGAGTTCCGTGCACCCCTTTTCAATTAACCTCCTATGTTCTCCTATGCGTTTATGGAGGGGTCGGAGGGTGCGGCCTATGTACAAGAGCTTGCAGGAACATTGTAGGCCGTAGATTACGTGGTCGTGGGCACATGTGATGAATTGTGAGATGGGGTATTTATTGCCGGAGCTATCTTGAAAGGAGGACTGGCCATGGGAGATGAACTGACAGTTGAGACATTGGCGTTTTTTACATTTGTGGACACCAATTCTATTGCTGAATGTGAACCTCTGTGTGTGTTCGGGTTTGTGAGTGGACAATTTACTGGGGGCCACTATATTTCTGATGCTCCGAGCTTTTTTGAAGATTACGGAGGGTTTGGGTGGTAGTAGAGGGCCCAAAGTGGGGTCACAAAGTAATGCCAGTTTCACTTCAGAATAGCTTGTACCTGCTATTGAATGGGGTGATGAATCGGACAGGGTTGGTGGACTGGCGCTCGGTTTTTTGGTTGTTGTCTTCAGGTGCTGGGGTGTGTCACGCACTCCCTAATCCCCTGGGTTCCTCGGAT